CACCCGGTAGATCCCTGAAATTTGCACCCTGAAATAGCGAATGACGGCAACTTTATAAAAAAAATCAAAATAAAATAAAGTTATGAGGATTTTTTCTAATATTTTGTTCATTTAAGCAATAGGTCCATCATGCCTTATTTTTAGGTATTTGACAAACACGTTCGAAATCGTCCTGATTTAGCTGGAGAGGGCGGTGATCGTACAAATTATGTCCCGATTCTTCAGAGCTCAATGCCAAACAGCCTGGCATTTCTGCATTGAATAAAGAAAAATCAAACACGACAAAACTGTAAAGCAATTGAAGAATATGCAGAAGTAAAACGTTATGATTAGTTATGCCAATGTAAACTCATAATTAAGTTGTAAACAGCCAAGGATGGATAGTTGTATTTCCAGTCTAGAAGTTACTGCAAGTCTACTCAGATAATAGCTGGGGGAAATGGATAGTAAGTTACTTTTCAAATTCTGTTCTGCAACAGCACACAAAATGGTTCAACTAATCTTAGCTAAAGCAGCAATAGAATGACCAGTGAGACAAATAATGGTGCAAATTAACTTTGTACCATCAGTAAATGAAGCAAAAGCTTACCATTCCTTGGTAATCTTATAAACCGCTGGAATTCTGTTTGGGGCTCCAAGCTGTAAGGCATCTCGTCATTTTTTTCGTTATTTTCAACCTTGTGACAAAAGGAATCGAGAAATAAAAGATTCTGTAAACAATCTGTAACATTCAATTTATTCAGTGTGAAAAACTCGAGATTAGCCCATACCTCTGGGAGGTCAGATAATGCATCACCAAGAAAAAGTTCTTTCTTGAGACTAACTACTTCCTGGTCTTTACTATATGCAACTGTGTTCCCCTGCAACATACAATTTTCATAACAGGTTTATTAAATTGTACAGCAAGTACTTGAAGAAAAGAAATTAGCAGTCGTTATTTACCTCAAATTCGAGTGGAACCACACCTCTATTTATGACTTTATGTGTAGGCAAGGGGTACGGAGGTAACCTCTATAGAAAAAAGGTAAGACAGAAAAATGGAAGGTTTGAGAAAATCTTGTTCTGTTCATTACCAAGTACATATTGCATTAGACTTCCAAATATGACCAAAGGAAAATCACATCACCTCAGTAGGAAGTGCACCCCACATAAACATACGCATGCGAAACTGGGGCAACCCATAAGCACCGGCAGCCATCATACCCATCCTTGCTTGATAATCCATCGCAACTAAGCGGCCAAGAGCATATCTAAAAAGATAACCATTGCAAAACTTGAGAATATCAACAACATTCTCCATCAACACAAACTTAGGCCTCAGATAGTCCACGATATCCATGAAAACAATCAGCTGTTTATTTTTAGGGTCCTCGAGAGGTGCTTTTGTGTTCCGGAACCTGTTGAAACCACTAATGCCTTGGCAAGGAGGTCCGCCACATATCACATCCACAGTACCCTACGGGGCATCAAGGAAAATAGCCATTATGATAATAAACATAAAAAACACAAAAAAAAAAGGAAAGAAAAATTGGGGGTTGCTGTAAAGGCAGCTAAGACTTACGGGTAAAGGCAATATCTTAGATTGGCAGCCATTAATGACAAATTCTTTCAACTTTTCTGGGCAGTCACTAGTAAGTAAAAAAATCATAAAAAGTTGTTAGAAACATAATAATCTACATGATAGTATCCTGGTTGAAGGAGGAAAAAAAATCATGTTTTTATACCTCAAATTCTCCAACGGTTCCCAAGTATCTTCCTCAGGGCCATAACCTTTCCAGCGGATCTATGATTATAGGGTAAAGAATGTATTACATGAAAGGCAATTACAAACATCATGAGGAAGTGTAACGTTCTTTTAGTTTATCATTGATAATCCCAAGGTGTACTAAGCAACATGTTATGTTGGTGATCAGGCACCAAAGATGCAAGGAAAAGGAGTGCCTTAACAATTAAGTGCAACATGATAAATGTTTATCATTGTAAGAACACATAGCTAATTTCAAGAGGTAATTGGTGGACTGATAATTGATCTTTGTGCACTAGCTGCACAATTGATTTTTACCCTCTAAATTGATCTTTGTGCACTAGCTGCACAATTAATTCATTCCCCCAAATATATGGAGACCATTCCCTTTCTTGGAATTCAATAGAAAAGGTAAAAATAAGGAAACTCCATCGACTCAATTCATTTCCTGTTAAAGTAAAGCATATGAAATACTTAAAAACATCAGGATCATAAAACAAGCTCTTCCTATTACCTGAAAATAGAGTTGACGCTTGCGTTTTTTATTTGGGTCACCATAACAAATGGCAAGAATCTTCTCAACTTCATATGCTTCAGAAACATCTTCACCATCATCATCATCTTCTTCACCATCTTTCTTGTCATTAGAATTTCCATCATCAGGAGTAAAACCATTATTCTCTGCTGATAAATATCTTTGACACAGCTGTTCCCATTCCTTAAGCAGGCTCAGGAAATCCTCAGCAGATTCATTTCTCACCTATTACAAGATTAAAATCATGCATAAACCTAAAAAGAGGTTGAAGTTGGTGTAAATACTAAATATAAACCTAAGCAGGTATGCACCTGAGTTTCGGGGTGATTTAATTTGAGGCTTTCACAGGCATATGGGTTAATGTCAACGGCCCATTTCTGCAAAAAAACATTAGACATAAAGGTTTTCAAAATCATGTATTGAATAATGATAGGGTGCATTAAATTGATTACAAGATTTTCTTTGTTAAAGAAGTGCTAGTTAACTGAATTATAAAAGATGAAAAAACTTACAGTCACAAGTTTAACACCACAGCTATTAGCACCAAGGCAAAGTCCAGTTGACATGGCACCACATCCAGAGTATAGATCGAGCATTGTTTTCTCAGCATGGTGATCTTCCTGTTCACAAGTTCCCCCTGGTAAATTATCAGCATCACTAGAGATGGTAGAACCAGATTCACTGCTGATTGCAGTTGCATCTGCAGATAAGAAAACCATTCATATAATATCCTCAAACCCACTTCAGTTACAAGGTCTAATAAACTGCATGGAAAGGTATTTTGTACCTGAAGGTAAGCTTACAAAGGAAGTGTATGGAATCAAATATTTCTTATCAACATAATAATCATACGTTGACCTCAACTTCTTCACATTAAATTCAGCCTGCGAACATGTGGGAACAAAATTCATGTGCCCACTTCTTATTATACTATAATATGGAAGAAATGGCTTAACGTGTACAAACATACCTCAGGAGATAATTTCACAATTCTGAGCTTTTTCACTAGACAATCAAGAGGATTATGATCCTTGACTTCAGAAATGAATATACGCTTGTTATCAATGAGGTCGCCACAAGTTTTAATATCCTAACAAAGAGGACCAAGAAAAACTATCACCACTTCAGCACAATGAAATATCTTCAACAACTAAAACTGGAACAAGATTTTTTGGAGTCTCACCGTATCTGAAGCTCTGTAATACCATTGGGCAGTAAAATTTTTTGAACAGTCAACTGCTTCAAAGAATTCAATAATCCTACATATGTAATCTTCTTTGCCTTCTTCGGACTAAAAGATAAAGAACTTTGTTACACACATACTCAGCAAGGTTATGAAAAAATCAATGCAACCAGTTAAAAAATCTACTCTAGCTTAGCTTATTTAAAGCAGGTTGAAAAACCCATTGGTACATCAAATATCTTAATTGAACATTAAGTTGATATGAGATGAAACTCCCACCATAACATATGCATCGTCTTCCAGGCAGAAAATCTGCCCATCAACCTCTGCTTGAGTAAAATGACACCGAGCCTGCAAAACATTCTGCAAAAAATTCCATAACACAAAATATTCAGATAATGAAATTGATTTCAACTGAAGTTCAACAATCACACAGTAAACATTGTTCATCAAAAGAAAAGAAAAACTATCAGCGATTTATTTATAATAACAAAGGAGTATAAGATATCAAAAGTGAATTTATTCGAATAGTACTAAAACTTCTCTCAAGTTAGTGCATCGAACATGAATCCAAATCTTGTTTATCCGCTCAAGAAAACTAAATATTGCATGTGATAAGGAAATGAAAGCACAATATCATGTCAACTGCTTATATTCAATCCCAATGATAAAACTTCATGTGGCCTCAATAATGTCGTGATCATACACATGAAATTCAGAGTTAAATGCATGAAGTGAAGCAATGGAAATCCACCATTGCACTGTACAGAAGAAGACCACGCCAGAATATAACGGAGAAAAAGCAGTTAAAGAACATATTTTAGTTTCATGCTCGAATTAGAGGTAAGAACATAAAGCACATGCAAGGAGAAAAAAAAATGAATAAATAAAATGTAAAATATATATAGTTAAAAAATGGAAATAGAAATTAAAAATATTTTTATAAATATACAATAATTGGAGTTTATATAGTATGAAAATGCATACATTAAATATAAAAATGATATTTTGATGAGTAGATGACTAAAAATTCCTTGTACACTTCATAACTGATAAATTATATCTTCAATGACCAAACAAAATCGAGAACAAAATTATATCTAATCACCACAAATGTTATGTTTATCACTCTTATTTTTCTTGTGTAATTACTATTACTTTGTTATAATTATGCCGGTTAAATAATTTTTAAGAACGATTTGATATTATTGATTTAGTCTTGTCAAATAATTTTTTCACCACAAAACTACAATAGGCAATCACATAATTTGAAGAAGTTACTAATCATATTCTCCAATTTTTTCTCCTCAGCTTTATTAATACAATTAAGTAAAAAAATTAATTACTTCACATTTTTAAACAAATTTTACTACACCGGTTTTGCTATGGAGCCAACCACAGTTATTCACAAATGGTGTATTGACACGTGTCCTACAATAAATACACATTAGACATGCGTCAGTACATAAAGTATGGATGGCTCCATAAGGGAACCATCCGATGGCTCTATAGAATTTATGTTTACTACATTTCTATCACGTCAATTTAATCATTACATCATATGCATTTACAATCTTAAAAATAGTTTGTTTCTCTAACAAAATAATTTTTCACTCTTTAACTTCTTTTTGCATTTTAATAATTTATTTTTCTAAATTATCAATATCCAATCCTATTTGGCAAGATTACTTCTTTGCTGGCACCCTTCCACTAGAAAGTTTTAAGCATTTGATTACCACTTACATTAAATAAATTTTATATTTTATTCTTTTAATCCTTTACTTTCATCATGGATGTTTATGTCACATTCACATAAAAGGTTGGTTCAATCAACAAATTTTAAAAACCAGCAAATTAAATTGAGAGGTTTAACAAATTCTTTACGTGCTTGATGGGATAAGGACAAACAAGATATTTGTGATCTTTAATTTAGTTATTTATTCTTTTTATTTATTGTTTATTATTTTAATTTGTTAGTAATGTTATTTAGTAGATGCTTGGATATAAAATTTTTGGTTTTGTTTGATTTTTTTTTTAATTTGGTTAATTTTGAGAACGTGGTATAATTAATTAATTGTTAGTGAGTATATTAAAATAATATTTAAAATAAAATAATTAAATTGATTTAATGTAAAAATAGGAGAGAAAACACTTCGACTACCAACGACAACGAGAGATCCTATCATCTAAGGCCACGATAAGCTCTGCGTGGTGCAGTGGACATTGTCTTTGTGGGTCATAACGAACCAATAGTCGCGGACTAACATAGTTAAGTGTCTACATCCTCGTTGTTCATTTTCAATTCTAACCAACTTTAGAGCTACTTAAACTCAAATTATAAAAACTCTTATTTTTTAATATTTCAACTTTGGAATCTATTTTACATTCAACCTTAAATGGTTTTGATAATTTTTTTTAAGACTTCCATTTAAATATATATATATATGTATGTATGTATAACCATTAAATTGCTACATAACCAAATTATCTTACTAATCCTTATTATTTGATTCAATTAACACATAAGTTAAAGTGTTAATAGTTGTTGGTAAACTTTTTTTCTGTAGCTAATGACATTTGCTGTCATATCTGGAGCTACATTAGCAGTCACAACTAAAATAATGCCAAGTTTTTAATTTGTGCTCCAACTATACCCCACTAGAAACCCATACACATCGAAATTAGTAACAAGATGCTGATAAAGATTAGATTTTTATCAACTATTCCATCATAAACCTAACTTGAAAATCACATGTCCGTTCAAAAGTTAGCCCATCGCCACTATTTCAGTAGCTATTCATGGCATCCACTCACGGGAAGCTAATTAGACAACCACACAAATTCACGTGTAGGCAAACAACTTGTTCATAATCCACTTTTCAGACCCGCTCAAGCCATTTTATGCTATAAAACGACAAATTTGAAGGACCAATGCATCTGGGAGTGTGTGTAGTTGTGTGTGATTGAGATAGAGAGAAAGAGGGAGAAAGAATCTCACATCATCCAACGCTTGCCCTGCCTGATACCGGTTGGGCCACCGAGCCCTGGCCTCCTCTTCAGCAACGGGTTCGCCCAAAAACCGGACATCTCCCTCCGCATCTTCGTTCCGGGCAACCCTCCGAACCGGGACCCGCAACTCCTCCGCCGCCTCGCCCACCAGCTCGCCACCAGATGCGGAACCGCTCTCGACGTCGCCGCCGCCGGAGACTTCCTCAGCGACGTCGTCCTCCACGAAATCTCCGCCTGACTCCAACGAGGTCCGCTTTCTTGTCCGCCGGCTGTCCTCCGGCGACGCCGCAGCGTCGCTTTTGGCGGCCGATGTGCTCTTCCTTTTTCTCCCCATTTTGCTAGATGATATCAGAGGTGTATGTGGGGGCAGTGTGGTGTGGGAGGAAGAGGAAGTGGCGGGGCTTTGGGAAAATGTGAATAGGGTTTTAGGGCTTTTATTAATGTAAATATTTGAATTTGTTTGAAGTTTGAGCGGCATTTAGACGGGCGGGAAACTGGAATTGTGAAGGTTGTTGCTTAACTGGATTTGATAGAGTGTTTTGGAGTCCGTGTGAAATTCCTGTTTTGGGCCTTTTGGGTTTGGCAACTTTGTTTTGTTCCGTTGTGAATAAAATACCATTGTTTAATTTTATTTAGAATGTCACTCTGTGCATTATATAATTTTTAATTAATCTACATAATTTAATATTATGTGTTGCATGAGATTTATGTTGCAATATGTATATTTTCTAATTCATATTATACTAGTACAATACCCGTATAATACACGGGTGCTTGTTAAAAAATTATTCTTAAATTTTAAAATTAATGAGAAAATTATATTAAATTTAGTTTATTTTTTTACAAAAAAAAATATATTACTATATATTTTAAAATGATATGTGTTACTTATGACTTACATGTGTTATATTATATTAGTTTTTATAACTTATATCATATAACTACTTGAAATATAAATATATTAGTTGATAAATAATTTTATTTTTCTAATTGATATTAAAAATAATTTTGTTATTGTTATAAAGATAAATATAAATTATTTTTTTTATACATACAAAATAGATGTTAAACCGAAGGTTATCAAAAGAAGATTAATTTGATATATTACATATGCAAAACTGATAAAAAATACAAAAGTTATTAACTTTTAAAATATATATACAATTCAATAGTTATAATAAGGAATGATATTAAACTACAATTAATACATGTAACATGACCATAAATAATCAACATATTTATGGTAATCCGAACCTAATTATATTTGGTTTGGAATTAAATTAAAATTTACCCAAGCCTAATAACGAAGCATGTAATTTTGCCACATAAGATTCCGAAGCACCAAAAGCAGCCACGTAGGCTCAGCGCATTCTGTATCAATATATAGGGGGGATAATAATATTACGTATCAATAATATTTGGTATTATACAATCTTTATATAAATAAAATCTATTATATAAAGAATCGCTCAAACTGCAACACATATATATAAGGACAACCCTGATGTTTTTAAATATATTGTTATGAATATATAATAACATTTTGTTTTATATACAATGATATTTTTTTATATGAGTAAAATTGTATATGAATTTTTTGTGCTGAAATATAAATATAAAATGGGTGTAAGCAAATTATTCTAATATGTGTCATTAAAATAAAATAATAAGTCATTTATCAATTACTTCTTTGACAAAAACAATTACAATATCCGTACACGATTTTTTTCAAATTCAAGAAATAAGTAAGCTAGTTAGTAATTTATCAAATCTTATATACAAATCAACAAAAATTTATATGAAAAAGAAAATTAATAATTTACCATAATGAATATGAGTATTATAATATTAAACTATGTTACTTATAAGTGGAATATTTTGTGCATTTTCTAGTCAGTATGTATATTTTAAGAGTAGCAAAAGTAATAAATAGCAGGATTTCTCTTAATCTGTTTAATAGTTAAACAGTCATACTTTTCAATAAATACGCATGCTTATTATATATTAAAATGTCACATTTTCAAACACAAAATAAATGATAGCACAGTATTTTGTGTTTTAAATTTACACTGTATTATGCAGATATATAATTATTATAACATTGAAACATACATTCAAATCAATTAATTAATGGAAAACCAATAAACTATGTCTAACTATTTGACGAGTATGCTCTCTATGTGACGCTTATGTGGCATGCACACATCAGTAATGTATTTTTTTGAACATATTAACATCACCAATGTGTGCATGCCACGTAAACGGTGGACGTATTAACATGTGTCCACCGTGGATAGGGGAGCATTATCTATTATTTGGCTTTAAACGAATTGTTGTTAGTAAATAGCAACCAATAAATCAATAAAAGAAAAAACATAAGATAAGTGAATACAGTTGTAAAACGAAACAAGTTGTTCACAAGTTTGGCTCGACTCGTAAAAATTTTTAAGGAACGAAAATTAAATTTGAATTTTTATATATTTTTCTTGACTAGATAAAGACTCGAACTCGAAAAGTCAAAGCTTGATTTTGAATTTTGATTATAGTCATTTACCCGTAGAGGTAGAATTCAACGCATGAGCTGAGAATAATTGAACCCATTTAAGTGGTAAAAACGCGGAGCTAAAATATGAGGTCGGTAATGTTGTCAAACCTAGAAAGTACTAGAAACAAATGTGGGTTTAAGTTGATTTATTTTTTTTTATTTTTATTATTACTATTATTATTTTTTTTTTAGGGATTTGGTGAGTTCTGATGGTTTTCTTCTATTGGGGTTGATTATTTCAAATGTTTGAATACTTATATATGTTTTTTTTTTTTTTTTTTTTTTTTTTTTTTTTTTTTTTTTTGCTTTGTTTTACAAAATCTGCATCAATGTTCTAATTAAGGATCAGTAAATAATTGTTTTTATCTCCTAACATTTAATTAGTGAGATCACTGTTAAATAGATTAACAGTTAGGTAATCGTACTTTTTCAACATATTTGTGTATTTATTACAAAATACCATATCTTAAAACATAATATAAGCAATGGTATGATATTTCATAGTACATCTATGCATTTTTTGTACAAATGTTAATCGATCGAATCGTCTAATGGCGGATCACACTTACACACACATTTGTACAATATTTTTTTTTTTTTTTTGGTACAAGGACTTTTCGTTTTTCGGATCCACAGGGGAACCGATTAATCCAGAATCGAGCCGGGTAGGACCACAAGGGCGGCAAAACTCTCCCTCAAGAGTTTTAACACTGCTGCATTCCCAGGACTCGAACTCGAGACCACTGGTTAAGCTGGAAGAGACCCAATTCATCTCATCCAAGTTGCATTTGTACAATTTAATTGCTTGTTATTGATTCAAAATATTGAAATTATGACATGTGTGGAGGGTCTTCTCTAATAGGTCAACATAACTAGTCTATGTTTAGTAAAAATAGATGATAAACTAGTTTATAAATTATTAGTAATTTCAAATGTATAATTTATAGCTGAAAAGTTAACTTATATGACAAAAGTGTTTGATGAAACTAGCTGAAATAAAAATTTCAACGAGCTTATTCTAAAAGCTACCAAAATAATCTTATGAGATAAGCTCAGACTTTTTAAAAATATACGTCATGCCAAACGAAATTTATTTCAATACAGAAAACATGTAAGCTAACCAAATAAAATATAAATAGTTTATTTGTCCACTAATCATAGCCTAGATCGACAATTTTCGTTTTAACGGATATGCACAATTTCATTTGAAATTGATGTTTTTTAAAACCATTTAATTATTAGGGGGTCACACTTTTTTAAATATATAATTTTAAGGCTAAATTGCATATAAAAGCACCACCTTTCATGTTTTTGCAATTGAATCACCACCTTTGCAATTTAGCAATTTAATACACCACTTTAAGTATTTTTTGCAATTCGAATCACAGGGCCCAATTTTGGGCCTGTTCTGGTGACGTGGAGGCCCGTTCTGCTGATATGGCATTTTTGTGATGATGTGGTGTTTCCACGTGTCAATGACGTGACATTTGTGGGCTGACATGGCGACCCATGTGTCAATTAAAAAAAAAATTATGTTGCACGCTCTGGGATTCGATCCTGGGTTGAAGGGGTTGAAGGGTAGCCTTAGCTACCACCACACCAGTCCAACTTAGTTGTTAAATGTGATAACCCTTTATATATATATACACATTACATTATGTATGGAGAAATCAAATTAAATCTAAAAAAATAATTTAATTATATTAAATAAAATTATATAAAATTGAATTAAAAATAATATATTAAGAAATTAAAATATATTTTTTCGAATTCATATTTTGTGTTAGAGTGAATCATATTATCAATATTATATTCATTTAATATTTTTATTTATTTATTTAAAATAAATTTATAATAAATATAATAACTTATTATTATATAATAAATTATTATTTCATTTAAGTTTTTAAATATTTTATTATTTTATATAAAATAACACTTTTTGTTTTATTATTCATTTACGATTATTTAACATTTTATTTACTTAAATTATATTTTTAATTTATTATATTTATTTAAGATTTTTATTTATTTTTATTTATTATTTCATAATAAGTTATATTTATTAAAATAAAAAAATAAACAAAATATAATAATAAATAATAAACAAAATAACTGATTATTAAATAATAAATAATGAAAATCTTATTTATTAAACTAGTACGTACCCCGTGCAATGCACGGCACATAAATATTAAATAAATTATTTTCAGACGACTCTGTTCGTTTAAGTCTAAAAATCAATAGGGTTATCATATATTTTTCACTTGTGTAGTAGGGCTAGCTTGTAAAATAATTAATATATTATCTATACATATTTAATTCTTTTTTTTATCGGTTATATATATTTATTTCTTAATTTGAAATAAAAAAAATATTTGACCAATTGAGTATTAAATCAACACTAATTAATTTATTAAGCAAGTAAAGACGCAAAGCAAGATAATTTAATTATCCAGCAATTTAGGGTAATATATAGTTTTCCTTTATTAAACATGATTTTTAAAAATAAAACATCAGCCCGAAATAATAGGCAACATTCATGGTTTTGTTGAAAACCAAAATAACAAAATCCTTAATTAATGGGTAGCATTTAATGCTGCCATTTTTTTATAAAAAAAAAAAAAAAGAAAAGTTACTAAGAATGTAATGTAATTAATGCAAAATGATTTTGACCAAAATTTGACTGCTATTTTTGAAAAATGGTAAATCTTTTTATATATATATAGATATTATTAATATGGTTTACTCTAACACAAAATATGAATTAATAAAATTCGATATTTTAA